CAGGGAATATACAAAAATTATTTAAGCAAGCGCTGTATAATAGTAATTTGTTTCGCAAGCACAGAACTTACCAATCCAGTCCATTCCATAAACTTTATAGCCATTTGCATTTAGCTTCTTGGCGAAATCATTATACCGGCCGCTGTTGCAAAGTGAAGAATGCAGAGTACTTAAGAAATAATGAACAATTGAATCGAAATTAAAAATCACGAGAGCCTTGCAAGACAAATGTAAACCTGTGTTCATTGAGGCCATGCAACAAGAAAACCAAACCCCTGCACCAAGACAAATAACATCATAAAACTTTATTTCAACAGAAAACATGAGTGGAGCAAAACGTGCAATATAGATAATCAAATGCTTTTATGTGGCCCTCTATCTACTAAGAAAAGGAAAACTCTTAGAACAACTTGTTAATGCAGAAGGGAATTGGAGTGGGTCATTAAAGCTAATTTTGCACCAAATACTAAGAGGATGTCAAATATGTATGTATTTACACAAGTACCCATATTAAGATTGGTCTCACATGTGTGACATATAAGTCTACAAGTTCTAAAATTTTCTTATTTCTTAAATTTCGTGTTCAATAAAATGAGGCGGAGGTTTACTATTGGGAACACAAAATAGTTTAATGCACTCAGTTTCTTACTATCACCCTTAATTACCTTTTAATCAGAACAGGATTTTGTGTTCATGTTTGTGTCCAATACACCAATAGTTAAAAACCACGAGCATAAATACTAGTCACGGGAAGTCTCTTTTCTTAACAAGTCATCTAGTTACATTGTGAGCCAATTGGACTTGTGTGATATTTTGAAAAGAGCTGCCACGTTATGGCAACTCATGCGAAGAAAAAGCTGGACGTCCCATTATGCCCATGGCTACCACACAGAGAATAATCAGAAAATACCATCATTTGTGACTTGGGTGTTGGGATTCTTGGGAAGCGGTCCACTCTAGGGACCAACTATCAATTATTTACAAGAAGCTGCAATATTCCTTTTAAGCACTTATAACAGACCCATCACATATCACTTTCATCCAAATTTTCAAAGACTGTCTAGCAAAAATGTAGTCATAGAAGAATTTCAAATGGAACAAAGTCATTCAACTACTAGGAATATTATTTTTAAAACGTGAAGAACCTGTTAAAGTTAAAAACAGGAGCCTTTTTAGCTCAAATATATATATTTTTTTAAAATGTGGAGTACCAAAATTTTCTGAAAGCAAAAAGAAAATACACCATATATTAAGGCGATAAAAGTAAACCATTCAATTTTGCATTCAGAATAATTGCAGGCACCGCACAAACGGAATAATGGTTAATATCAACTTAGCGAATCAAGACAAAAGAAATACCCTTGCCATTATTACACGTTACTGTGCAGTCACACTAAGAACACGATAAAAACAAGAAGAATAATTCTCTGAAAAATACTCTAAGCTCTGCTGTATGGTGGAAATTTAAGCAGAACAAAATCTAGTAATTAAATATCACAATACAAATATTTGCGTTCCCTAAGCAACAGCAGGAATCGCCATGCAACTCATTTTTCAAAGTTCTCTGTACACTAGTTTGTAATCCTATCCAACAGTAACGTGGAAAGCAAGAAGCTCACAACAAGAAGACATTGCATGGCAAAAATAAAAACACAAAAAGAAATTAATTTAAGCAATAATTGCACTTTAGGTCCCTCGGTTATTAATAAATTCTAATTCTGATCCTTCCAATATATGACAAAGGGCATATTTGACCTTCAATTTATTAAAATTGTGTATTTTTATCCCTTTATCTAGTCTAGGAAATATGTTATATTCCGACAATTTTTAGTATTATATTACTCTCAACTATGAATAAAATACAAACTTAACATAATCACATGGGTAACACATGATGTAATGGTATATAATTCATTAAATTTGTTAAGATTCAGAAAAAGGGGATTAAAAATAGACATTTCAATGAGTTGAAGATTAAATATACTTAACAGTGATATCACAAGGAGTAAAGTTAGCATTTATAGATATTTGAAGGACTGAAAGTGAAAACTACCCTTTATTCAAACATCCTAGGACCTTCCAGAAACACCAAGAAAGGGGTCCTTGTGAATTTGGAATAATATACTCACCACATTAATTAAACAAAAAAAGACGCTGAGAATAATAATGATTACAGGTAATCAATCCCAAAAAGATAATGGCCTTGCATTACGACTATTAATTGAGTAAGTTTTAGTTAGAATTTTTAAAACACACACGCTACTAATATAATAAATCACATTTTCTCATTTTAATAGGAGTAATATTTAAAAGTTAAAATAAGGGCTTTCGTTTTGGAATAGGAGTAATCAATTAATTACCTGGGTTTGAAGGAAACAGGTGTCCATGATTGCGTGAACATGGTGTCTCCTCTGGACGTAACAAAGAGCGAAAATTCCCTCAGCGTCTCTTTATCATCTTCCTGAAGCACTCTCCTTATCGCCAACAATCGTCTCGCCGCCACCTCCTGCTCCACCGCGCTCTTCCGCGGCATCATTTTCGACGGCACTCGAACCACCGGACCCTTCCTTTCCAACGCCGCCGCCTTTTCCTCCTTCCCGGCCTTCTCCTGCGACCCCGAGGCCGCCGGCGACGTCATCCTCCTCCGTCCACGAAATGGCAACAACAATAGAAGCACGAAAGCATTTATCAAAAGGAACAAACTTCTCAATACGCGAAACGAAAATAGCGCGCTGATTCTTCCGCTTGCACCTGACGTCAATATTAACGTCGCTTCGTTTGCTTTCGCTATTTCGACCGCCATTGTTGTTGATGTCCTTCTTCTTATCCCAAACGTCGTCAACGATTTCAACTCGGATAAATATTTGTGAAAATTCCCAGGATTAATTAATCTCAAATTTCGTTTTGTGTTAATATATCGTCCGAAGTGTGATTCAATTCGTGGAGGTATGCACAACTTATGACTTGTCAAGCAAATCATAAAATGGAAAAATTGGATGAACAAAATTTCGAATTCGCTGCTAGCAAAAATTTAGATAAGATTCTGGTTATTCTGGAAAGCAAAGTTGAATACGGAAATTTTGATAAGATTTAAAAAAAAAAGTTAAATAAGGAAATGTGGCAGAGAAGAAGTTGGAAGGCTGAAGGGGGATGCGTAAAGGTTTTTTCCTTCGGTCTCGGCAAAGGTTAGCAGCCACCACCCTCCTCTTAAGCTTCCGAGAAGTCATGAATAAATAAAGGCTCAGAGAATTACGCTACAGACTGGCGGTCAATGATGCTACCACGTGTCACCTAAGCACATGTTTTCTTATGCGGCGATATGATTTCTTTTTCGTTTGTTTGTTTCCCTTATTAATATTAAGGTAAAAGTTTTGACAGAGTCGGAGCAGTAAAATTGATTCATGACACGTGCCATTTATTGACCACGATGTTTGAAGTGACTGGACCACCGGTCAGTTGGTTTTTATAGTTTCGTCAATTTTCACTTGGAGCACCGATTCATTGGAATATGATCAATGTTATTTGGTCACGGCCTCACGGGAAAACTTTGAATAGTCAGTATTAGTTTCAGTTCAATTAATCTTTTTGACTCATCAATTTGACACCTTAAACTGTCACTTTTGAAATAACTCGCTCCTAAACTTGAAACAAAAAAGTGTATTGAGTTTGGTAACTTCTTAAACTATAGTAATTGTTTTATAGACTCATATTATAATGATACACTTGCATTAGGTTGTATTGGGTTCAATTAATTGGTTTCTTTCCATAAAGATTCTGTATTTTCTTGCAAACAAAGTAATCATATCTACTGTTTTTAGGTGTCCATGTAGTAGTGGATTTATTTCAACATAAGTAGATTTTCTTTTCTTGCAAGTTAATTTGCTGACATTTTATTTTAATAATAACCCTAACGGACCAACAGTTCCCGTTTCGATTTCAGTAGCTCCACATCCAAAAGTAATCATTAGGCTTGAGGAACACCAAGTGGAAAAAAAGGCCCAGGGTCGCCAGTACCCTCGACTCTAAAGCCCAAAGGAGTGGACACAACATAGTGGAAATGACACCAGACACCCACTTTTAAGCCTGCTATTTGAAATTCAGAATAGTTTGTTTTAGCTTATTTTTAAATATATAGTAAATTAAGAATATATTTTAAATAACGGACTTAAAAGATTATTTCTATACTTCGCCCCACAACATATAATCCAAAACAACTTGCTGAGTCCAAAGACCAAAGGATTTGATGAAAGTTTGGAGATTAACATGCAACAAATACTAGTTCAACAATATCTATCTTCCTTTATAAAAGTCAAAACAATGGCATGTACATTTTAATTTTGGAAAACTAAATTAAAATATTTTTCAAAACCTAAAACAACCTATTGTAGTTTTTTAAGAACTAGCACAAATATAACCAATTTTTTTTTAATTCTTCAAAATAAAAAAGATTTTTACACAAATAGCCGGCCATATTAATTATTTGCTTTTTCTAGCTATTTATATAGATTATGCATTGATTATACACAATTATACATATATAATACATAAATTATTGTACATATTATACATTCACCATCTGTATATGCATAATTTATGTATTATATGCGTATAATCAATGTATAATCTATATAAATGGCTAAAAAAAGTAAACAATTAATATGGCCGGCTATTTGTGTAAAAATTCCAAATTATTTCTATAAGTTAATCTTAAAACACATAAATTTCGAAAATTTCTGCCAGAAGTAAATCAAAACCAAATCCACAAACATGCAACGTATGCTTTTACTTTTCATTCTTCTCATCTCATTTTTGTTAGGTTAAATAAATTACTACTCATCTCTCCATGAGATGATGTACGATGAAAGATCTTAATTTATCGCGTAACTATTACTTTTGGATAAAGGATCAAAATTTTGTTCAAACACATTTCTTTCCTGGTTGTTTCATTGTAAATTAAGAATAGTAACAACTTACCACCACTTTTGAGCTGCAATAAACCCTTACATCAAATAGACTATCTTTATTGTAGGAGAAAATAGGGCGAAAAAATCAAATGGCTCTGCTGCATTGCCAATTTCTTCCACATCTATCTTCTAACTATTTACAGCTACTAAATTCTCATAGTTTTCCGTGGATACAAACGTGCTATTTTTATTGTTCATTCCCAATCAAGTATGAACGAATCCTCACTTCATCCACATGTGTAAAACCTGAATACTCTATCGTAAACTATTCTATGTGTCTCTGAATAAGCAGAAAATGCAAAATCTAAATAGCCGTGTGAAGCAGTTGCTTAGACCTACTCCATTTATGTAAAACGTTGCCAAAAACATCATAGAACTCGATCTCTACATGAGTTGGTGTCACTTGGACAGACATGAAACCTTGTCCATCATAGAAGAAATTCATTCCTTCTCTGTTCAAGGATTTCACATCTCCCCTCCATGCCTTTGATCCTGCTCCACTCGTTAAAAATTGTATGGGGCTGCAATTAAACCAAAAATGGGTTGAAATAAAAGAAAAATAGAACATATATTTCAACATTTTCCACGAGGTTCGTTCTAATATCAAATGTCAAAATTTTGCTCATTACGCCAAACGTAGAAAATCATTATTGACAATTATTTGAACTCTTAACTTTACCTTTCGCTATCACTGATGTGCTCAAGGCAATGATCGTGCCCATTCATGTATAGATCTACTTCATATGCCTGAAATTTCATAACCCAACAAAAAACAGTTAAATTCTAGTGAAGATTTCCTAAATTAATGAATTAATTATGGGATACAAATTGTCAAATATTGGACAAAGAAAAAACAATTACCCTAAGGATAGGCAGAAAACGGTCCACAAGTTCATTAGTATCACCATGATGTCCTACACTTCTAATGGCATGATGTCCCACTACTATTTTCCATTTTGCTGTTGATTCACTTAACGCATTCTCAAGATCCTGCAATACATAACAATTCTTTAAATATCATAAAATTATCCCCCTAAAATCTGATTTTTTTAAAATCATTTCAACTTACTTTTAATACGTTTTCTGTATATGTTTTTTGAGGCATCACATTGCGCCAATCATATGTATGTTCTGTTTCCACAAAGTACTCTTTCACAAATGGAGTTGTATCAACCAAGAATATTTCAGCAATTTCTGTAAAAAAGTTAAAAGAAGATTTAAAATATTAAAATCATGAGAATTAAAGTTTTAATTTTTAAACAATAACAAAATTTCAGATTCAGGAAAAAGTAAAATGAGGGCCTTTTTTTCTTACCTGCATTGATTATGAAAGATCGCAAACAAATCCATCTACTGTCAATTTTCCTAAGGTAAGGACTAAGTTGCGCTACTGCATCTCCCCTGTAATCATGGTTACCTAATACTGCAAATCAACACAATAATATTTCAGAATTAAAATCATGAAACACATCATTTTTCCCTTAGTTTTGTGTTTTGCGAAAGTCACCTGAATACCATTGCTTTTGCAAGCTCTTTGCTGTATAAACATTGGTAAAAGACTCTAGAAAATTTGGATCATCTTCCTCTGTTAGCCCATTATCATAAAAATTGTCACCTGTTGAAACTACAAAATCTATGTCTAGTTCCTCTCCTATTCTTCCCATCTGCATCCAAATTATACACATTATAATCAATCCAAAATTCCAAAAACAAAAACATAGATATAAATCAAATACAAGGAAAAAGTTACAAATATTTTCTAAAGAAATTTACCTGGAGAGCAACAGCAGATTGATTATAATCACCTTTACGTCCCCAGTCACCAATAACCAAGAATCTAAGATTGCCATTACCTTTAGTGGGATGATCAAATTTCTTAAGCCCAGTTGCATTAGAACAAGAAATCAAAAAACTAATAGCTGCCAAAAGGAACAGAACCATAGATTTCTTACAAAAACTAGCCATATGGCTCTTATTTCAATTACAACACAAGATTAATTATTGTTATATAGGCCAAGCTGAAACGTTCATGAAAAAAGCATGAGAGGGCTAACGGAATAGGATTTTGTGGGGTATTTAAAGATTAAACGTAGACAGTAAAAATATGAGGCAATGATGATACAATGTAGGTCACGAGTTTTGGATTAAAGGAGATGGTCAATTATGTTTGTGTTGTTGGATATGCGAATATGCTGGTGGATATTTCTTATATTCTATAGATAGGGATCGTAATAAGAGAATATTCTAAGGAACTGATTCAAAAGTTCCTATCCTATTGGATTAATGAATAGGCGAAATTGTTGTTTTTCATGGAATTTGGCCAATGGGTTTAAGAAAAGAACGGAATATGTGGACCCCTCAAACGATTTAGGAGCTAGTACTATGTCAATTTTTTTTTTTTTTTTTTTTTTTTTTTTTT